TTTCCAGTTGGGGAGTAAAACTACATCCGCAATTCCGGCCGATCTGATAAGGTCACGGGATGATATGGTTTAGTAACGTATGTGCAAGTTGCACACTTTCTGTATTGTTGCAGTATTGCGGCGGCTATGGCTGCATTTGGGTGAGAAGTCCATGTTCAATACGGTCACACTAAGCGCCGTACCTTCTTTTCTGTCTCGACAGCGAGTCAGTTAGCTTATTTCCAGGAGATAGTGGGAACTAGAGTGTCAATTGTGAGTCTTTCCAGACCTATAACTACGAAGCAAATAGGAGTATAGATTTATACCTCAACATGTTACTTTTAGTTTGATATATAGTATGTACGAAGTAGACTATACTTCAATGTCTGGCCTACTTGGGACTCGCTTCGGGCGGCAAAACGGGCACGTCCATTGGGCGGTGGTGGTTCTCCGGACCCGGAACAGCCGAGCGTGACCCGGAGGAACCTTACCTAAGAAAGACTAACGAACTCGAACCTGAACTGAACGGACCTTCAACTGTCACTTCATCTCGCTCTCCTCCTCCTTCAGCCTCAGCTTCTGCTCCTCCTCCCCTCTTCCCTTGTCGTCCCTTTATCGTCTCGCCTTTCATCCATCGTCCGCCCCGGATCGTCGTCCACGCGCAATTATCCCCATTCAACATCCTTTCCCCCTTTTTTTTTCTACTGTTTTCCCCTTTCCGACCACGTTGCCGCGCCGAGTCCTCAGGGGCGCGCTGTGATGCGGCTGCGGTGATCGATTTCCTCACACCAGTCTCTGTCGCCTAACAGCGACTCCCGTCGCCCATATCTTCTTCTTTTTTTCCCGGAGTCGCGGATTACTCTTGCCGTTGAACTACTTATCCCTTCGGTCGACCACCAACCATTCCCCCCCACCACAACCACTGACTTTCCGCCTAAGCGACTTTCGTTCCTACGTCTCGTTGTTCGGATTGTCCACCCCTCTATTGTTGCCCAAGCGAACACGGGATAATAACAACACAAATATTTCGCGCTATGTATAATACTCATCGCGGAATGGTTCCGGCTCCCAACTCCCGTCTGACGGAGTTGTTGGACCAACTGCGCCAGGAATTCGAGAATCAGTCTCGAAGCACTGGCGAGTTTGAACATCAGCGTATGTTTTGTTATTTCCTTGGTCCTCTGTGCTATTTGGATTGGCTTTGCGACGAGAACTTTACTTGTCACGGCGCGTTTCCGCCGGGTTTCACCTTGTGGCGCAGATCAGCGGCGTACGGGTGAATTCCGGAGTTTTAATGCAATGGAGAGCATCTTGTGTCGCCCAGATTTTATTATTGTTATTGTCATTTCCCCCTTTGGTGTAAACTGCTGACGCTTGGTTTCTACCACCCCTAGTAACCGGACAGCTTCAAGAGATGGAGATGATCCGCCAGAAGGTCTATCAACTGGAACAGGCACAACTTAAGATGAAACAAGAGTACGTTACTTGGGCGGCTCATCTTACCCAATAGCTGTACTAACGCCTTATCCATCATTGTAGTTACGAAGCAGAGATTCGGGTGCTGCGACACGAGCTTGAATCGCGTGGTGTTCAGCCCGTGTCATCTCACATTGCCGGCCCGGCCCAGCACGCTGGACCTTCTCAGGCCCCGCCACCGGCCCTGGGTCACGGCCCTAGCAATCTGTTTGGTGGCATCATGACCAACCAAGGAGGTAGTGGCCCCGGTCTTCCAGTTGCCCCTCCCCCTCCCCAGGATCAGCAGCCTCCCCAGCATACCCTTCAACAGCCTGCTGCCGCGGCCCAGCAAGGAGCGCCGCAACCACCGCAGAGCTCTTTTGGAGGATATCAGCCTGGTGCTGCTGTGAACGGTATGTTATGACTATGGTTGAAAGACAGATTGCCTGACCTCTGACCTTGTGATCGCCTCGATCTCTAAACAGGTTATGGACCTCCCCCTCCTCCTGCTGCCTCCCCCGGCCCTGGCAAGCGGCCCCGTGCTCCTCCCGGTCCGGCCACTCCTCAACAGACCCACCAGCTGGCCTACACATCCGATCCCCGCGTCTCCTCGCCGCAATTGGCCCGCCCCACGCCTCCTAGCCAGGCTCTCGTGCGAGATCGTCCGGGAAACATGCTGGCCAATTGGAATCCTGACGATCTGCCGGCGTCACAAAAGCGAGAGGGTGCCGATTGGTACGCCGTGTTCAATCCCGAGGTGCAGCGCGTGCTGGATGTGGAACTTGTTCATCACCTTGTCCACGACAGCGTTGTGTGCTGTGTTCGTTTCAGCCGTGATGGCAAGTACCTTGCGACCGGCTGCAATCGCTCTGCGCAGATCTTCGATGTGACCACTGGTCAGAACGTTGCGACGTTGCAGGATGAGAATGTGGACAAGAACGGCGACCTTTACATCCGCAGCGTCTGCTTCAGCCCTGATGGCAAGTATCTTGCGACTGGCGCAGAAGACAAGCAGATTCGGGTACGTGGTCCTGCTTTAACATCACTAGTATTATTGATGGCCGCTTTGGTGCGCTGTTATTCGAATGATTTCGCAGCTAACCCTTTTTTCCCTCTTTTCTTACCGTTAGGTTTGGGACATCAATGCCCGGACGATCAAGCATATCTTTACCGGTCACGAGCAGGATATCTACTCTCTTGACTTCGCTGGCAATGGTCGGTACATTGCGTCCGGTAGTGGAGACAAGACTGTTCGCCTTTGGGATATCCTGGATGGCAAGTTGGTCTACACCCTGAGCATCGAAGACGGTGTGACCACCGTGGCTATGTCCCCAGATGGTCACTACGTCGCCGCAGGCTCTCTCGATAAGAGTGTGCGTGTTTGGGATACCACTACCGGCTACCTTGTGGAACGGTTGGAGAGCCCCGATGGACACAAGGACAGCGTGTACTCGGTTGCCTTCGCCCCCAACGGCCGGGACCTTGTCAGTGGTAGTCTGGACAAGACCATCAAACTTTGGGAGCTCAACGTGCCCCGTGGCGCCTACCCCGGAAGCGGAGTTAAGGGTGGTAAATGCGTCCGCACTTTTGAAGGTCACAAGGTAAATACATACTCTCCGTTAGCAAAAGGCCAATACTCGTTTCGTGGTTGCTGACCTCATGGATTAGGACTTTGTGCTCAGCGTCTGCCTGACTCCCGACGGACATTGGGTCATGAGTGGTTCTAAAGACCGCGGCGTTCAATTCTGGGACCCCATCACCGGAAATGCGCAGATGATGCTCCAGGGACACAAGAACTCAGGTGCGTACCTAAAACCTCCGAGCACTATGTCTCTTGCCAGGTGATCTTGGCTTTTGCTAACTCAGTAACAGTCATCTCCGTGGCGCCCAGCCCTACTAATAACCTGTTCGCCACTGGTAGTGGTGACATGCGGGCAAGAATCTGGAGGTACGTTCCTACTGGCCTACAAGGCGTTCATCGTCCTGGTGGCTTTCTGTTTTCTTCTCCTCTATCATGAACATTGTTGACAAGGTCGCTCCGAACAGATACTCTACCTACACTGGACGGTGATGAGAATGATTTGGGAAAGCTTTGGCGCAATTATGGAATTATGTTTCTTCTTTTCGAATCTCCCGTTTCCGATTTTGTCTGCGTGCCGCGTCTTGTTCGACGTCACTACCGGGATTTGCGTTGCAAAAGGCCAATTGCTTTATTGTCACAACTCCATGCACGGGGAAGTGACCCTGGGGGTTTTTTTTTCTTTTCCAAAGGAGACGAAATGCTACAAGCGAAGCGAAACAAAAAAAGAGGAAGAAAATGAAGCACGATAAAAAGGCTGTACTGGTAGTAATTTCGCGCTGATTACGTGGTTGTGAATTTATTCTGAGGAAGCTGAATGCAATTGTCACGAGAGCAGTGTGATGATCGGTAGGGGTGCAGGCGCTTCCTTAGCGGTTGCCATCGCGCAGAGATGACGACAATCCAGAGGGCTTGTTGATTGCGGCATATTGTAGTCGGCTGAAAGACTAGTCACCCTCCCCGTTCTTCAGTTGACTCCATAGACCGTACGATTGACCGGCGACAATAAAGTAGACATCGGAGAGCACAGGGATGTGCTCCGCTGGTTACCTATCTCCATAAGATCACCCTTCAATCGGGATATCCGCAGTCCCCGTGACGGGCACCTGCACGTTGCGGGGGGGTTGAGTTCAGTAGTCGGCACTACTATTCGGTCACCGTGCGTATGAATGCATACCCATAGATCTATGCTTGTATTGGGCATCCACAAAAAAAGGGCCGGCAGCGCCGTCACTAAGGGGCATAGGCTGCCATACGATCTCTCGGGGTTGAACTAGCATCGGTAGTAGATGCAGGTTGTTGAGTTGGTCACGGACCTATATCCTCGCATTATGAATGACTGCAGTAGCGGCGTACATCGCATTGGACATACATATTGAGAATATATAAACTCCGTGGTCCGTAGGGAATCCACTCGGTGATCTATGGGTCTAAAGCGAGATCGATACCTGCCTAGTAGTTGGCCAGGTCCACGGACTTTTCCGGGAAGGCTAAACACAGCAGGTGCACCGGACTTCAAGGCATTGGCGTAGCCGCCGCCACTAAAGGGAAATCATAGGCTTCCGTCATGAGCAAAATGGAGTTCAGTGTTGAAATGTGGCAAGGATCTCTGGGTCTGTGTCAACCACAAAGACATATGGAATTCAATTGGCAAACACCAAGACGGTCAGATCAGCACAGAAAAACTTTTGTACATACTGCATTGTGAATAGTAACAGCTTGTAATTGTTCCGATCAAAATGGTGCATCGCCATGGTCATGCTCTGCCTGTGTATCTCGTCGTCTTGTGCGCATACGGCACAAATCTCTTAGAGGCAGTAAGTACGAGGTGTGGACTCGGCATGGCTTCAGTGGTTTAAGGGCAAGCAAGACAGGTAGATCCCGGACAGTATTCGGTAAAAGTCACGATCAACCAGGGCTGTACTCCATCGTCCTCAGTGTAGAAGTACGTAGTTGGTTGGAAAACAAGTGGGGGGAGGAGCTCTGGATGGTCTGCCTGCGGATGACGATCCTCCAACTATATGGATCCTCCCTGTGGGCTTTTTTTGAGACTGCTCCCACTCGCAGTGTCCGTCGAAATTGACATAAACGAGGCTCGGTAAGGGCCTCCGGAAAAAGGCCACTCATTGCGTAGGCTATGCCCGCGGTGTGATGGGAACAGACATGCTGCATTGGCATGAGACAACCCAGCAGGTGAGATTAGTTATAGGTTAGTAATTGCGAGGGCACAGACATAACTAGCTACTACTAGTCAGTTAGTAGTGATACCTACTGTGGATTAGTTAGTAGATTAGTTAATAGTCATTTAACAAGTGACTAAAAGTAGAGAATTAATGTGTCGATTCCGGGGATCCATCGCACCTGCTCCACTGCCCCGTTAGGTGCTCCGTTCCTGATTTTCCAGTCCATGCGGTGTGGCCGATGGTTCCTTCCTTCCTCGGGGATAATGTCACGTAACCTTAGTGGTAAAGTAAGTAAGCTCGTATTTACAAACAGACCAAGTTGTGATTTTTTTTTCCCCCCAAAGTCGGTAGTAGTAATTATCTAGTCAATTGCCTCTGAACACAGCAAATTGACGTACGTGAACAAAATAGCACCCACCTCCATGCAATTGGATAAGTTTATATTGAAATAAGGCCTTCATATATATATATTTCCCTCTCTCTCTTTCTCTACCCAATCATTCACTCTTTTAATCGGAAACATAGTAATGAAAAAGAAAAGCCGAAGCGTGTGTGAACAAGTAATTTTAAAAAGAGCACCCTCCGTAAGTCATGTCAAGTCAAAACCATGGTCACAAATGTGACATTATCAGGTACCGTCGCGATACGAATCGAATCGACTTTCAATCGGCTTTTGTTCGTCACAGACCCGGGCAGTGCTAGCCGGCACTATTGATCGGACGCGATTTTCTCTCCTGCATCTTCTGACAAGCAGCCCCCTGCGATCACGAGGTGGTGAAGAGGGTGGTGCATTGGGCAGTCGACCTACATCATGCCTTACGTGCTGCTGCGAGCAGGCACCAGCCGGCGCCTATATCGCCGTGGGGGGTCAAACCTGACTTTTGCTCCCAGGCTCTCCCTTCCCTCATTTCTTTTTCCCGAGCAGGAGCCGTGATGATCGACTGGCGGATCTCGCTCGGGAAGAAGGGGAGGAAAAAAAGGTGGAACAGGGTTGGTGTGGCTTGGCGGAATTTCAACCTGTACGAGTTTCTTGTGCATCCTCGATAAGAAGTACACATTGGGATTATGAGAATCAAGTAATAAATCATTTAATGATATTGGTTATCGTGGAATCCGCGGTCACGCAGTATAGTTAGCACCAATGTCTTCTCCTGACTTTTCTCTTGGAACCGAAATTGATTAACAGTTGGGCACTCAGCATCTCCTCAATGATATGAGCGTTGCTAGAATAGATCTGATCATTACGGGATAGCAAATCCTGGAATATAGAAAACTCGTTGCTGTGCATGATGGGAAAAGTGGATCAAGCAGACAGACACTGAGGCTGTCTTTAGAAGCTGCTGAATCCCATGAGAGGATTGAATGCCGATGTAACAGGGTGGATCATCACGACTAAACTTACTTGTGCATGCCTGCCTAGTATCTAGGTAACTAAACTAGTCCTCACGAATCCGGAGAAGGTCAGGTTCGGCTAGCTCTAGACTGGCCTGAACTAAGCTGCTGTGTTTAGTGTTGACACATAATTAATCTGTATCATCATGGTACATACATGCAGACTGTGCATGAACCATACTTGATGATTTCGGGTCTTCACGGAAATGGACATCTAGAGAGTAGAGAGTAATATGAGTAAGTACCTAGTATTTATATGATTACTGCCTGCGCGCAACAGAAACAACGAACCCTGAACATATGTTGATTACCAGGAAAAAGACCATGGGTAAGTAAATCTTCAACATGCAAAGACACATACAGTTAAAACCGACTAATGGTTATTCCTATGATGTCACCGATTTTCTCACTTTCTTCTCCTGACACTGCGTGAAACCGCAAATGTGATACATCTCACGACTGTCAGCTTTCGCATCTCCTTAGATCCCATGTTTGAGATTCGATCGTTGTGGATCAGCTGCCGTCGCCTATGGATGTGCGAGTCACCACTCCCTTCACCCGATCCAAACACGCGAGGGATAGTATTTTTCTTTTTCTTCCGGTTGTAATATTTTATAGTTTCAAATTTTTAGCTCTTAGATATCATTCATATTTATAGACACTTTTTTTTTTTTTTTTTTCTTTTTCCCTTGGGGTAGAAAAAAAGATTGTAGTTCTGATATCCACAAATATGTCTGCTTATGTAGGTATGTCTGTCCTGTCTGGCTGGCTGGTACCTACAGCCCGTGCAGTAAGGTTACTGTATGTAAGAGTAGTAGGTTTGAACTTTGCCGCAGTCTAATCCAATAGATCCTCACTAGGGGAATCCTTGGCCCTCGGGCCCACAATGTTGGGAACGCAGTGGTCGCTGTCCACGATCGATGAGGCCGGGAATAGGAGTTTTACTTATTACATGGTATGGAGTAGTTGGTTTGTATGGCTCTTTGGCCCCAGCATCCCCTCGATGTGGAGGAGCACGGTTCAGCTGGAGCACGGAGTGATTTCTCAGAGGCCTCACCTATCTCAAGACCCTATTGAGTTGGGATCAGTAACCAAGTCAAAAATTTTGCCTCGTAGAATTAGCGTGACCTAAAGAGGTTGGGCGATGGGATGGAACTGTCCGTCACCTGTAAGTGTAAGATCCACGGGTCATGGCTGAGTTTGAGCGGTTCCGAGATGAAGGCCCGGCCCGTCACAGCAACGGACAGGTAAGGATAAGGGAAAAAGTCTCGCCTTCAGAGTACATTCAGTTCTTTATTCATCAAAGTCATATGTATCTTATTCTTAGCCCACAATTTTTCCTTTACCCCTTTGTTTGAACTTGAATTCATAATCTAATTCAGATAATTCATCTTCATCCCTTTCATCCCGCGTATAGTTATACATCAAGTCAGTGTAATCCTTCCGTAAGGAAAGAAAAAAAAAAAATTCCTTGTTCAGCAGCTCTAGACCCGATTGATTGATCGTTCAATGACAGCAGGGCGTGCTCAATCAGACCTGAGCAGTGAAACTTCAGTGTCCAGTCATGCGAGAGGATCCAATGTTACACAGAATCAAGGAAAAAGGCAGAGAGTGCAATGAGTGATCGGACACAGTCTGTCAACCTCGGACTTTTGGGACGACAATTGCATTTTGAAATTGTTAGAATACAATCTCGTAATAAATACAGAAAGCACTGGCCAAGTTAATTGATACGTCAGGCACTACAGTCTGCACTACCTTAGTGTAGTTAGTTACCTGCCTAGTACCCACATTAGCATGTTCCCTATTTTTCTAACCTTACTCGCCCCTATACTTCTAAGTTTGCCTGAACCGAAACGAGGAAAGCGAGGTAGATCTAAGAGAGAAAGGAAGATACCAAACAAAAAGAAAAGGCTAGAGCTATGGCCAACATTTCTGTGGTCAGCGACTGTCTGAGTCTAATACAATATTGGTACCTAAAGTTACTGTTCTTGTCAGCCATCCATCCATCAGCACCAGCACGCAACAGAGTCTTGCATGTTTCGACCTGGAGGTGAACCCACTTTTTCAGGGGTAAAAGCATACAGAAGTACATGGTATTTCATAAAGAAAACTTCAGAGGATGCAGCATTCGGTGCTAAGAAAAGAGTCAGAGTGGGGTGGGTCATGGATGGGGGGAAAGACAACTGGACCTCATTGGTGTCTACCTTTTTGATAAGACAGGAAGAGGTCCTGCTGGACTGGCCAAGATGTGTTCTGAGCCCATCAACCATTGAGATCTTTTACGTTCCCGATGATATTTTACTCCGGATAATACCCATCAGTTGGAATTCTTGTAAGGTTCTTAGCCTTCATCCTGACCAACTAACAACCAGTAATACTAGGTTACCGGGCCAATCTATCAGCACGGTAGGACGAGCGGGGGATGTGTTGGGATTTCCAAGTCGCCAGACGCGGCTGTTGCAAGAGTGAGGCACATCCACGCCAAGGAGAGGAGGGCGACAGTGGGGAGCTTGACAGCAAATGAGCGGCTGGCGATTGCTACACTATTGATCGCCCGCGAGCGGTCCGTTGTGTAGCTCTGCCGGGCGAACCCTGTCATGCTTTCCCTCGCCTGACCAGAAGTACTGAGGTATTATCATGTCACGTCTCCCTTCCCGCAGATATAGCCCTTTTGAAATTTAGATTACTATTTTTTTATTTTATTTTTTTTTCTTATTTCAATGCTTTTGTCCTGTCTTTCTAAAAACCAGTGTAGTAAAAAGTCGAATAACTTCATTCATGTCCACCATCACATTGAATCTCACACCTTATTAACGGAAAGGTTTATTGAAGACAATGTGATCAAGTAGGTAAGATCAATGGCATAAGGTACAACTAGTTGTTATTTACTTGCCGCTAAGGCAGGTAGATGTGTGCGTGTGCCACATTCTACTGTCAATAAGGATGAATGGAGGACGATTCAGCTCAGCCAGTTCCTCCGATACATAATAATAGTACGTACTTACTAGTACCTACTTACTCTCTCTCCTACCTAAGCCCGTCATCGGAGTTCTCGGGCGCCCCGGCAGCGAACCAGCATCCAAGATAAAGATTACCGCCCGCTCCTGCAACCGAATAGCGATATCAGTGGGATGGGTTTTTCCATGCCTCGCAGTCGCGGAAATCCCACGGCGCGTATAGCCAAACAACCGACAGCCGTACTATCATCCCCTTAAGCACCCCTTGGTTTTGATGTAGGGTACTGGGATCATGTAGTTCGTACATAGGCAACCCCAAATCCTTTGCTCTATTAAGCTTGGATGCCGGGAATAAGTTTTGAGGGAGCCTTAGGGCCGGTTAGTGGCTCTCTTTGCTCACAGATCCATGGGCGAACCCCCATGGGCAACGAGGTCCAGTCGTAAAGATCTACATCCATCCAGGTGACGATGAAGATCCTTCGACCGGCAAGGTTGTCCGGTATGAAACCGCCTCCTATTTGCTGAAATGAATCCCAACAGCTCAGGTGCCTGCGTGGATGACGAGGGTATCCTGGTTGTTTCACTAGCAGCTAGTAAGTAGCTGGCTGACAACCAGAAATGATACGAGAATGGTAATGGAGCTGTGTCGAGCAGCATTAGTTCCCCGAGTAAGAGCGATGTACGGCACTATTCTCTCCCCTCCCTTTCCTATCATAATCAGCCAGAGACGACATCTAGTAGCTGATCATCGAGTTCGGACATGGGGAATACTAGTCAGGTACTACATCAGCTCTATCTAACAGGTGTCAGAAGAAAAGCGCCTACTCCACTCGCTCTTTGAATTAGTCGAGGTCAATGCCCTTGGCCCAACCTCCTGGGTCAGATGATATGACTACTCGTGGTTTGTGGGATGTCGATTACGAGTTCGCATTCCATGCTTATGGTAGCCTGGGCTTCTGCCCGTTCTTCTCTCCTATCTAGAAGATGGTGGCGGCATTGCCAGCTCTACTTATGGTTGCCTCGTCATGCTTATCCGCTCTGATGCTGATTACTACTAATTAGGGATACCGAAACACTCAATCATACCAGTTGAATCTGATGTCTTAGTAGTGTGTAAATATGGGAGTTTACCCCGGTAGATTAGTTATATGCGTACTGTGACAGGGGAGCTGAATAGTAGTAAGGAGGTGCCACTCGTTTCTATTATGCGTGTATAGGATAATAGATATATGAAGGGTTTCATCATACCTTAGGTAGACTGAGTCGGCAGCACAAAGTGCATTAGTCCTGATTACTACGGGCGATCAATACCTAGTACACAGTAGGTATTTTCTTCGTACCATCCATGTGGTGCGTGACTGTCAGCCCGATCGGAAGGTGTTTAAGCCTTCCGCGATTGGACTGAAGGGCCACCCCAAAAACCGAGTGGACCCCGATCCCCCCGGGAGAGCATCCATGGATCCCCATCTAAATCGGTACTCTCGCGGGAAAGAAAAATAGAATAAATAAAATAAAAAATGGGTACCATTTTTTATGGACCTCCTCGTATTATGGGAAGAGGAGGAGTATGATTGTCGACGGAACTAGTAATTTATCGCCCCATTCTCCGCTTAGAAGAAAAGGGACCAGATGGAACTTCGTGGGACTCAAGTAAGATGTGTCAGCCTTCTCTGGTGGCTTGGGTGTTCGGGACTGCAATGTACATGGATGGGGCAACCGCGATTCAGAATAATTGCATTCAGCTCCGTCAATCAATCACAAAACGCATGACGAGACGAGTGGAAAATAACCTATTGTGACCTTTGCGGCTTGCACCTAAATTTCGGTGACTAGATGG